AGTAATTGTCTGCCGCGCAAATCTCACGGCCTGGAGTTCCGGGCCGAGGGGATGTGCGTTGACACGCGATTTCCTGCTTTCGGGTGCGGTGCGGTTGTGCGTGGGCGTGCCAGCACGGTCTACCGTGCGTCGAGATGTTGATGAGTGTAGGATGGATCAGTGATGCGCCTATTTGAATTCATCTTCTAATCAAACGATTGTAGCCGAGAGAGGAACTAGTCTCGGCTGTTAGGTTCACGGCCTGAACTACAAGGCCGTTGAGTGATGGTGTTGGTGGTGGGTTTTGGGCGGTGCTCCGGCGCGTCGTTCAGGGAACGACGGTCGTATGATATATGGGGTGAGGGAACGAACAACAGAGATGGTGCTCCGGCACCTTGAAAATCAAGGGTCGTATGATATATTGATGAATGAATTTTCCTTACAGTTTAACACTACTCCTAGGAAAGCAAGTAAAGATATTGAAAGTGCATTACAGGAAAAAATAAGTTGCTCCGTGGGAGGCTTTGGTTTGGTGTTTGAACCCGTTGAATGTAGCTCGAGCCTTGTATTTATAGGAAGAGTTCCTGGATGAGTAATCGAGGCTGAATTTACGCATAGTGGAGTCTGATTAGCGCAAGTGGGTGTCCAATCGACATTTGGGATCGTGAAGCATGGTGGTGTGACCCCATAAATCCTGGTGAATCTCGGCCGCCGCCCTAATCGTGGTTTCTGCGCAGCTGGCCGTGGAGACGCATTTATTGCTCTGATAGCTGGTGACCTAATCTCTCAAGCTGCAAGAATTCTTGTGAGAATGTCTACGTCTAATCACTCTGTCTTCTGTCGCCACAACCTGACTTCAGTCACTTCCCACCTTCCCTCATGCATTAAATGCTTATTTGTGGCCAGTGGGTTTGCTGCATTAAACAGGCGCTACTTCATTAAATGAAGCATGGGTCCTTGCTATCACGTGATGATCTAACTTTAATATTTCTGGCCGCGATTTTGCTTGGCCTCGGCCTCGGCCTGCACTCGAGGCCGAGATGATCATGCCTTGGCAATTTTCTTTTGTGTTCAGGAAGGCAAAGCACCTCGTTGAAACGCTGCGTTTCAGTTTTACGAGCAAGTGTCAGGGCCGAGAAAGGAGGCTTCTTCGGCCAGCTCATGGCCGTGATTTATTAGGCACAAATAGTAATTTATTCCTTCTTATGGAAAATGCATAGTTGAGCGTGGATCCTCAAAAGTTCCCCAACAGTTGAGGGATATAAGTCTTCGTGACATAGCTCTTCGTTCAAAGGGATAAACTCATCATATGGGAGACCCAAAATTGGTAATTTGCCAATTACTTTCAGGTCTTATAAAGAAAAGCTCATTTCACCATTCCAGGGATGGAACATGTTAGATAAAGGCCCCCATAACTCACAGAATGCTCGCCAAACATTAGGGCAAATATCGTAAGAGTAACGGGAAACATCAACTGCACCATAAATATTAGTTTGGCATAGGATGTCACCAAAGTTGTTTAAGATAGACTCCATCCACTACAATATAAATGGTTGAAAATTAGCACGACCGAAAAACCTGAAATTGCTTCCCCATGCAATTTTGTTACAAATCATCTTGTGCATGACAGGATACAAATCGTCTCTTGGTATAAACTATTTGTCCCCATCCAACTCATTGTTTACTTTCATCAAGCAGTGAGCTTGGAAGCAATGACCTTTTTGCTTGAGAACTGATACTTGGACATCGATCCAAAACATCAACTACATGGGATCGATAGGATGGAAAATGTGCCAATGGATGTGGTGATAAGGTGGAATTCAACTTATAAAAAACTTGATTGTGCTTTCAAGTACAAGATAGTTTTCAATAGGATGGTGGCTGAAAATCAAGCTTTTCAAACTTACTAAGTGCAACCAAACCGATTACATCCAATTTAATTTTCCATGAATTGGTTAGTTTACAAGTTGAGATTGAACTCAAAATGAATGATCCAAGAGATCCGGTCTTGCAAAGGTGGCTTGATGAATGAAGAAGAAGTTTTAAAAGTATTGGGGAAGTTTTAAAAGTGAACAAAATGACTTTTATAGCATTAGTGCCAAACCCAAGATTTAAACTTCAAATGCTTAAGATAAGCTTCCAAAATCTCAAGGTCGATTCTAATAAGAAAGATGAGGTTGTGAGAGAAGTCAGAACATGCTTGTTCAACTTGTATCATGAGTATAGAGGGGTGGATGCCTTAGTGAGCCAACCAATGAATGAAGGCCAAGATGAAAATTTTGCAAATGAGGTTTAAGGCTATTATGTTCTTCAAACTAAAATGTTCCATCAACTTGTGCAACAAAGGAAGGAGGAAACACTTGTGGAAATATCCAATGAAGTTGATAAAAATACTTCATCGATCCTTTTGAAAGCCCTTTTAGCAAAGGATTTAAACTCTTGAATTGGTATAAAGGCAATGAGGGTAGATATCCAATCCTTTCAAAGATTTCCAAGGATATCTTTGCTATCCCAAGCTCTACTGTTTTTAGTGAGAATGTTTTTAGCTTAGGCAAGAGTCTTGTAGATCCTTTTAGAGCTTCATTGACACCTAAAATGGTAGAGGCATTAGTGTGTACCAATGATTGACTCAAGGCGGATGAATTTTGCTTCTACAAGGAACCAATAGATGAAGAGTTTGCGTTCTATAAAGAACTTGAAGCACTTAAAAAAGTAAGACATATCTAATTATTTTTAAAACAAAAATTTCTATTTGTGGCTTCTTTTTTTCACATTAATATTTTTTTCACTTGTTATTAGATTTGGCTGGTACTCAAGCTTCTACAACAACATCACTACCTCCTTGATTTGCTTCCACATCATCATTACCTCCTCTTTGAAGAAATATATCATTTTGATTTGTGAGAGAGACCATGGTTTGTAACTTAAATAAGTTTTCATTCCACTTCATTTCATATTTAGGTTGTAATTTTAATTAAGTTTTCATTGCACTTCATTTTCTATTTGGGTTGTAACTTTTAATTAAGTTTTACTTGCTATGTAGAATAATTTGATGATATGATGATGCAATGCATGATGATAAATTATGTTATGAATGAAAAAGTGCCTTAAATTATGTTCAAAAGTTTTGAATCAAAACTTGGCTTTAAGTTAAGTGGCCTAAAACTTACATAAAAAAAAGGCTTCAAAAAATGTCCTAAAAATTGTCGAGTTTATCTTTGATGAAGGCTTCTAAAAACTGTGCTTAAAAGCTGTTTAGGCTTAAAAACTAGGAAAATGGCGCAAAAAACTGGGCAACTGGATCGTTCGATACTACGATTCAATCGCAACTTACAGCACTAGTCATGGTCAACTTTTAGGCCTTTTTGATGGCTGTCGAGCGTTAACTGGTTCCCATAGCGCACTGAAAACATCACTAACGAAAAGGAGATAAAGCTTGAAAAAACCAAGCCATAACAATATAAATAAAACTCTCATAAAAAAGAGGTGGAAAGCTCTTACAAAAGAGAGATGAAAAACTCTCAGAAAATGAGAGGTGAAAACTACACAAAAAATCTAGAGAGTCTTTGCGACTTATTCCAAACATGAAGAAACCGCAAAAAGAGATGGTGATAGAGATCAGATACGACATTGAAGTGCAGGTAAAGATCTGACACTGAGACATGTGAATCCTTATTCTTTAAATTCAAATCAAATTATATGTTACTATGTCGTCAAAGGTATCCCTCAAACTAGCTCACCCTTTTTTTTGACCTAGCCGCCCTCTCTCCCTAGGAAAGAAAACCCAAGGTTTTTGGAGACTTAGCTGCCACCCCCGTCTCCCCTCCCCTCTCCTCTCGCCCCTTCCTTTGTTTCCCATCCTCTCTTTCCCTTCCTTTGTTTCCCATCCTCTCTTTCCCTTCCTCCTTGAGTTTTCTTCCTCGCCCTTTTCTTTTACTGTGACTTTGGGATTTTCTTTTATTTTGCAGGGAGTGTGTGGTTGGGTGTGGGTGGTTTCGTTGTTTTGCTCCTATTTTGGATCTACTTTGTCCAGGGATTACTTTTGTGTTTTAGTGGCTTGGGTGTGGCCGCCGCAGTTGCTTTATTGTTTCCGTTGTTGTGTTGCCGGCCC